TGGCCCGTCACATCGAGGGTGACGAGATGCAAGTCACCTTCGCCCTGTCAAATTTGACGGGACGAGCAAAGACTTGGGCCTTAGAGCTCAAGCTTCACGACCCAAACGTGTTTGTGTCGTTGGAGATCTTGAATTCTCTTCCCAAAGAAACGTTTGAGCCACCGAGAGCCATGTTCAGAGTACGCTCTGCACTCCGGAGGCTCAAGCAAGGTAAGCGTGATGTGCACGCTTACGCACAACATCTCCGCTACCTTGCGATTAGCGTCTCGAAAAAAACCGCGTCGATGAGCTCTCGCTCATCAACGTGTTCATCTACTGCCTTTTAAATGGACCGGTGAAGACCTACATGTTCCGAGAGGACTTCCATACGCTGGAAAAGGCGATAGCGTATGCGGAACAAGAATACTTAAGCCTGAGACAGTCTAAGTCTAACTCGTCCAACTACTGTCCAACGAGGCGACAGGAAAAAGAGGTCCCGAATCAATGGATATCTGTTACATCGAGAGCGAGAACTCTCTCTCTCTGAGTCACAAGCGAACGGCAATATGCCATCGCTGTCAGAAGATTGGACGCTGCGCTCATGAATGTAGTGTCCCGAGCACTGCAGCACTTAGAAGACAGGACGTGATGACTGCCGTAGGCCAAGGAAAGGTCCGAGGCGTGGGTCCGACCATGTCGCCAAGCCGCGATAGCAATTTGGACCGCCAAAAAACGGACAAGGTCAGTAAGGTCGGAGCACCATGCTGGTCCAGCAACGTCAAGAGAATTTGCAGGACTCTTGACGAAGATTGCTCACAACACACAGTCGCTGTGTGTTACTGCCCCTAGTGGTGAGGAGTCTCCCATCACTTTGAAGATCGAAGTGACAAGCGAAATGCCACTTCGCACCCTAGTTGACTGCGGTGCGTCGAACAGCTTCATTCGACGCCAGTCGCTAAGGGATAGTAGGCTCAACTATGTTGATCGAGAATTCCCTCCGACGAGGATGACGGTGTGCCTTGCTACATGCGCATCCGTAACAGTGAACAAATGTGTAGTGGGAATCCACTACACGCTAGAAGGAAAACAGTACGATGATGACTTCATCGTACTAGATTTGGATGACAAATTTGATGTCATCCTTGTTCTGTCATGGCTCAGAAGAATCGAGACATGGATCAGCTGGCAGCATCTATCCGTGAAGATGACTGCCGTTTGTTCATCAAATGTCCATCTGATGAACGTTTTGGAGCGTCCACATGCGTGTGGATGTACCACGAGTGAGTGAGATGGCCTCACTTGTGGTACGGTCTTATTACGATTGCACAAGATCACAGTGCAGAAGGCCACTACACTGTGGAACCAGCTTCCGGCACTTGTGCAAAGACACAGGCTGCGCCGAAGGTTCACCACTATATAAGATCGAGCGGACTGGAAAACGGATGTACACCAAGAAGGGTGCACCCAAGAAAAGAAATTAGTGTTGTTCATCCTGAACAACACTTCGAAGCAAGATCGACTATAAGAGAGTCGGTCGTAGAGCTAACCCAATCGACCGAAAGAGAGTCGACCGAAAGAGAGTCGATCGAAGAGGACGTGACTGTGGAATTGCAACAACAGTAAGTACACGTATTGGAAAAAAGTTCCAGCGTTTCGAGAGTGATAACTCCCGAGAGAGTTGTGTTGATGGTGTGGATCCCCAACCACCTGCGGATGTGTTTTCCCAGGAAATCAACAAGATAGTGAATATATTCAACGAGATTGTGAATGTATTGATGAATGACGGATCAAGTGTAGGCGCTTGTACACTTTTTATGGTTACACCTACTAAGTCAGCTTCGGAGGTAATTAAGTTGCCAACGCTATAATTTAAAAGATTCTTGCGAGATCTGCGTAGTGACAAGATCAAGCAGATCTGCGTACTCGTCACAGAGGACGAGTACGTCGCCGATATTCGGTCGTCACAAGTGTTTACTGAGAACGAACGGGTTTTCAGTAGCTCATCGATGGATAAGAGATTCCTCGACGAAAAGACCAGGATTGAGCGATACACGTCTCAATCTTGGGAGTCTTTGAAGACAAATCCTTTGTGTAAGGATTTGATCGAATTCAGAATTGTTTTTCCGGAATCCGTGCCATGCGAGCTGCCCACAGACAAAGGCACTCGGCATGAAATCAAACTGAAACCTGGTTCAAATACTGTGTCATGAAGCAGTGGTCACTGCCTCGTGAACAGGTCACAGTGATCGACAAATATTTTGCCGATCGCTTAGCTGTTGGTCATGTGAGGAAATCAACACCCCCGCATAGCTCTTCGACCTTCTGTGTGCGAAAGAACACAGGGGGGGTAGCGGATAGTGCACGCGTTCAACAAATTGAGCGCTGCAACGGTACCGGCTCAAACGCTGATCTCAAGAAAGGATGTCATCATAGATGGTATGGCAAAAAGATCCATCTTTTCATCCATGGATCTAACGGAAGGATTCTGTCAGATCCTCATGCGTGAAGGGGACGTTCCGTACACAGCAGTGAGCACCCCCAGGTGGTATGATCTGGGAATGGATAGTGATGTTACAGGGGATAAGTAACGCATCTGCAACGTTCAGCAGCTGTGTTACAAATCTGTTGCGATCGGTGCACAATTTCGCACCGAGTTACTTCGAAGATTGCTTCGTCCATAGCCGGGATATGGATGGATATGCGGACGTGTAGGTTCATAGAATCCACTTCCGGAAGGTTCTTACTCTAATGCGATAGCATCAGTTGTTCGCGAACCTCAAAAAATGTGAAATCGCAGCGAACAAAATACCACTTCTTGGCTGCATCGTTGGTAAGAACGTTGTACGCTCTGATCGGGAAAAGATCAAGGCTATTAGCGACTGGCCAGTGCCAGTCGACGTCAAGGGACTTCGAAAGTTCCTTGGTCTAGCGGCGTGCTTGCACAAGTACTCGCGCAGATACGCCAAGATAACCGTACATCTCTCTCGTCTGTTAAAGAATGACGAAAGGTGGTCATGTAGTGCTGAGTGTCAGCACTACTTCGAAGGTGTCAAGAAAAGCTTGCTAAAATCGCCTGTGTTGGAGATTGCAGACCAGGACAGGCCATTCCGCGTCGTTTGTGACGCTATCAATTTTTCAATCTAATGTCTGTCTATTTAAATTACGGCTGCGCATTAATATAGTATGACTCATAGGGCTTTGAATGCGTCGTCTGTTATCAATCACGTCAGCTGCAAGCAGCTGAGCTTAGTTACCCAGTTCATGACAAGGAACTCCTTGCCATGAAATGTGCACTGGCTAAGTTTCGGGTACCCCTTTTCAGGAGATAGGCCCTCCATCGTTTGTACCGACCATGCGTCGTTACGCACGGCCGTAAACAGTCCACGCCTCTCGCAACGAATGGCGAGGTGGCTGTCTTTCTTCGCGGAGTACAACTTCTATGTCGAGTATAAACCAGCACGACTTAATGTAGTTGCTTACGCTCTTTCACGTCGGCCCGATTCGTAGCCGGCTGCTCAACACAACAGTAGGGGTGATCCCACTGTTGCAACACTATCAGTGACTGTTCCGTCGTCGAATCTACCTGACGACGTGCGAAAAGCATACGCAGAAATGAGTCTCTTCTGCGACTGTTGAATTACGTATTCAATCCGTGCGGTCAAGCTTTGAAAAGCTTGAAGTGTCAATAGTGTTTTTCAACCGAACGGTATTCGGTTCGTGATGAACTGCTGTACTATGCAGCAGTCAACGGCGACACACCTCGTGTCATCGTTCCGGCTTATAATGATTTGCAAATGCGCATCACGTTTAAGTGTCACAATGCCCCAACAAGTGGACATCGCGGTAGAGAAAAGACTTACCTCACGGTAAGTCGTGACTTCTACTGGCCCCGCCAGTATGCGCTTGTGCGGAAATACATTCGCGCTTGCGAAGTTTTTCAACGGTTGAAGCCTAGTCTTCCATCCCGCGCACCCTTGCAGCCTCTTCCGATTCAGGCAGAGTGTTGGCAGTCCGTATCGATGGACCTCGTCTTCGGGTTTCCCAGAGATGTTCACAAGAATACTGATATTCTTACGTTTGCTGATAGGTTCAGCAAGATGGTACATCTTGTTGCTGTACCGGAGTCAATCACAGCCTAGGGCTGTGCGCGTGTCTTCATCGATACTATCTTCCGACTTCACGGATTACCCCGTGGACTCGTGTCTGATAGGGACCCCCGTTTCACAGCGGAGTTCTGGCAATCCGTGCTCCGTTCACTAGGAACACGTTTGACGATGTCAACTTCTGATCATCCCGAAACAGATGGTCAAACGGAACGCGTCAACCGCGTTCTCGAAGATATACTTCGAGGGTCTGTCCACTCGTTTACGAGTTGAAGTGGATCTTGCCGATGGCGGAATTCGCCATCAACAACTCGGTGCACGCGTCGACAACGCATACACCGTTCTTCGTGAATAACCTACGCCATCCACGTTTATCCGCCTTCTAAGAGTGTGACTCTAGTTTAAGGGGGGGGTGGACTTGCTCGAACGAAAACCTATCTGGTTCTTGCACATCACATGTCGAAAATGATGTCGGCATGATGGATGCCGATGTAGATGATGACGACGATGCTGGTATATCCAGCATCGCCAACGACTGCCACAGTGAGGAAGATGACGCCCTCACTGTTAAATACAAGTCTCTTATAGAAGTGCACACGAAGCGCACTGCTGTTAACAAGGATGATTCAGCAGAGGAATTTCTGCTGACGCGCGAAGCGGTTGTCCGCTTCGTGGAGAACATCAGTGCAGGTTCAATAGATAAATAGAAAAGAAACGCAGACGAACCTGGAAGAGCAAATGTTCTTTCATTTTATTAAAAGATTTAATTTTTACTATCTAAAGTAAACTTACCGAAGCACGCAGTGACAAACGTGGGCAGCAGCAAATTTCTACCCAAGTATATCAGTCCATTTCGTGTGTTCCGCCGAATGGGAAACGCATACACGGTTGAACTGCCCCGCAAAATGCGTACGCATCCTACGTTTCGCGTTGGTCGTCTCCGCTCTTACTATGAGTACGAGCCCGTTTCAAGATGCATAGAACACCTCCGCGGTCAAGAGCCGAGAGCACCTTCGAGTGGTCCCGTTTTAACGAGCCAGTCTGATCGATCCGCGAAGCGACCTGCTCACGCAGTTGAGCGATGTCCTGAAGAGCTGCAGTCAGCTCGTCACGAAGAGAACGAGTCAAACGTTCGCTCTCAAGTTGCGCGAACGCAAACGCGGCACGATCGTCCGAGCGATCGTGCATTAAGGAATTGTAATTATCCCTTACAAGATCTTGAAGCTCATAACGCCGAGTCCGTTCATGATCCAGGTCTTCTTGCAACTGTTCCGTGACACGGTTTAGTCCCTGAACATCAAGCTGATCCGACCCTCGAGCCGAATCAGGTATTTTTGCCGCCACCACATCCTTTAGTGGACTCAAGCGGTGGTCAAAGCTTTCTAGTGGAGCTTATTTTGAACGACCGCGACGTGGATACCGTCCGGACGAGTTACCTAGTCTGCTGGTGTGGCTATCCACCGGCGTGGGACAGCTGGGAGCCTCGTGCCCAGCTGTTCGTTGATGTTGCGGGTCTTGTCGAGCAATATGACGAGACTAAAACCCGCTGCGTTTGAAGAAGGGCCGTCGGAAAACGACCTCCTAGAACGCGAGTGCAGGAATTGCAAAGTGCCAATTCCTTCGGTCATGTCAGTAAAGATGCGCGTTCTCCAGTAAGGAATATTGGGAAGATAAACCTCCCTTGGGGCACGGTTCGAGTTGTCCAGGCAACCTGAAAACGAATCAACCAAAGAGCGACAATATAACCCTGCCTCTCTTGACAGTCGGTGTATCTTGTACTGTATACCGACTGGGTTACGCTTTTAAAACCCGATGCGATCTGCATCAAGTTAACCAAGCCAGGCCTCACGGTCAGTGCACTCGATGTTATGGATGAAGGCATTCCATCCCTGCACCAAGGCCTTACCGTCTCGGCCACTGTTGCCATATTACCAACGATGTTCGAAGAACACATCGGTATAGACTGATTTCTTAGCAAGGATAGTTTCCGTGCTGAATTTAAGAGGACAGATCCTCCTACTGTCGAACAACGGCATTTGGTCCCGTTCAGTGGATATACCGGCCACTCAATCCAACTCCTTGGTGGTGGCATCTAAGGAGACTCCAGCTGAGGAGCGTGGCGCAGGAATTTTGGGCGCTGGCCTCATGAGTGGTGTCTGCACGAGCTCTGACACCAGTGACACCTCGATCCGTCGAGTTACTTCGCTCGTGGCATGTACAGGTGCATCACCACCATCTCCACGCGTCCTATCGTTGGATGAACTCGCGTAAGGATTCGCCAAAAAAATCAATCAAAACGAAGATCTCGGACATGATACCGCCACGTTCACCAGAGCCAGTCAACCTGGCTCTTTCAGTGTCCGCCCCGAGTGATCCTGAGCCGTGAGGTGTCGCCTTCGAGTCAGATGCATCATCCGACTCGCCAGAATAGATGAGCTCTATTTTAGACTCATCTACTTTGCTAGTTGCAGTACACGCTGCAGACGCAGCGGATGTACCTGTTGCACGTGGCGACTAACCACGTGGACCATTCACAACAGGCACCGCATGTTGCTGGATCGCAACAGCAAGCGAAGGATCACCTGCTGCTAAAACAATAGAAGAACCCTGTTTTCGGCTGCACGCATGCGTGCAACCGCCTTTCTTGCTGCTTCAGTAGCACATCGCATGGAATTGAAAGCATGCAATAAATTGATAAACGAGTTGTTATTTGACCAACAAGTGCTCCCCTTCCCAGAGTGACCAACGGTGGACACCCTATTCCAATCTGTCAAATTCAATCAACGAGTGGGATGGTTAGGGGGTGATGTAATGGGGTAGCCCATTACATGATATTGACACCTTACGGTGTAAATGGGGAGAGATTGTCCAGCGTGACAATTCCTTTATTAACATCACCCGATATAGGTAATTATGGTAGATAGTTTTTTGTTTGGATAGTATCCTTGCGCTGCTGAAAGATTGGTTGATAAAAGACCTATAAATCAAGGTTACCACCAATTGCTGCTAGACGCGCAAAATGGGTGGCGAGCAGGTTGTCGTCATACGACGACGTAGTTGAATTTAGTTAGATTAAGATTAAAGTTAAATTGATACCTTAACTGTAATGAATACAGTTCTCTTTTTACCCTTTACTCAAAATAGCAGTTTGAGTAGATTAGCTTCCTCTGCACATCCGGGTGTACGCGAATTTTCGTGGCAACCCAAATAAGGGGTGCCCTGTTACATAATTTGACAGATCATGAGGCACTGGACTTATCCTCGAAGACATTCAGGTTGTACGTATGGGCGGTGTACCACCCCCTTTTTGTATTCGCTAACAACCCACACGTGGTGGGTAGAAAGCGAAAATCTGGTGGGTGGTTACGGGTCCCTTTACCAAATTTTACAGAGTGCTCATCAAGATAGAGCGCAGTAGCGACACTTCTTAGGTCGTCGATAATTAGTTATTCTTGAGTGAAGGTGATTTATTTCCGCTAGCGTCGTCTTAATGTACGTCGAAGGATACTTGAGAAAGAAAGAATGTATAAATGTGGGCCATCATTGCGTTCAGAATGGTTCAAAAAGGTCAGCCGCTAGGTCGACGCAGTAGGGCTTCTATAATTTTACACTGGCTACAATCTTAAGGTTTCATATGTACGGTTTATATCAATTCTAGCATCTGATTGCTAAAAAAATATGGGACCGTCGCTTCATATTGCAAATCAATACAAACACGATACCTGTTTGTGAGCGAATAATCAATGCGGCTATCATAAAGTAAGACCATGATAATGATAGGAATTGACAAACTACGCCTAAGCGCAGTTTAGGTCTGCTTCAATTTCATGCCGAGCCAATTTGAATGTCAAAAACATGTTTCTAATAAATCAGATGACCTCATATGCAAATTTTTTTTAATTTCCCTGCTAGCTTTCTATTTTCGAATGTGCGCATTCCATGGCGCGAACGACAACGGCACTAAGCCGTCAGATCAGGAGATCAATAGTTTACCTGAATCATGGTCGAGCCATCGGGTACATTTGCTAGCGTCTTCGCAACCAATTTGATCACGAATTGACAAGTCGTAAGACCCAGTACAACACCGCATGATGTATCCCCTGAGTAAATTTGATTATCTGAGACCACAGTTTGACTTACTTCTCCTTCTCTTTGGCAAGGTCATCATTCTCTTCAGCATATCTATACTAAACACACACGCTTTTCTCGTACATTCTCGTCACCTCTAGAAGAGGTCACTGTTGTCGCAATGAGTCAAGAATGATTTTCGCTAGACAACCTTTGATCGACTATTCTAACTCAAGTAAGGTGGTGTGCACAAACGATGAGCGTAAAGGCTGAATTCATAGCTGCAAGCTTTGACAACACATACTAAGTTGCATCCAAGCAAAAGCAGGCGACGTCGATGCTCGACGCGGTGCATCCATTTCTGCAGACTTCGCTATGTTTATTGTCGTACAATTGCGCAGTGCAGATGATGAATTCTCTTCTGCATATTGGTGTCTAGCGAAATCCTGCTTACATACATGACATTCATTTCCGTTTCTCTTTACATAGACTGGCTCCGTCAGTTCCAGACGATGCACATACTAGGAACGGCTTACCCTGCTAAGTATGAAAGCCACCGCCGTGTTTCAATCACCGAAATTAGCAAGTTGTTGAAGAAACGATCGATGCGAGGGAGATAAATTGGCCAGAATAGTGTTGGATGCGAATGTAAAAATACATATTGGTAAGAACGCTTGTATAAAAATTCGGTGAATTGACAAAAGCCTTATCACATTAGATGCCCGAACGCTCGGCTCCTCAGCAATAATTACCGCTTTCTGTAAGTGATAACGCCATTTTTGATCCGCTGATGAAGCAAACTAGAGTAGCCAACGGAAGGCTTTGGCATGCAGGCCTTCGATTTCTGTGAATACGGGGCTGCTTTAAATGTGTGAAGGACGTCGGAGTGAAGAGCTGTAGCGGAGCTACCCTTACTCCCTTGTCAGAGGAAGCCTTCTAGACTCGTAGAGTCTCTTACTATACCAAACGAAACGGATGTTAACTTAAACGGTCTTAAATCTTACATCCTGAGTGAGACTTAATTTTAAGCGTATGTACAAGCTCTTAAGATTCTAGTCCTGGTTCAGAGGACTAAAACTCCAAGGAATTACGTGGCACTAATGCACGAGAAATCTGAGGCTTAAAATAGGCACTTAACTCTTACTAACCAAAGACACTTAGAAAGACACGTGTTTGAAACTGATCAAAAGAGGAACTGAATGAAATTACGATTGTATAGCGATAAACAAACCTTACGTACGCCTTAAACCTGAAAACTGTGCTACCTGATCGAATATTCCTCATCACGCTACTTCTTGTGTACCACAAAAGAACTGCGTCGCCTCTTAGAAGACCCGATTACAATAGATATCCTTTACCCATAGCCGATAGGTCAAAGTATTATCGTTAAGCGTATGTGGTTATATAAAACACGCCATACCAGTAATACTGATCTCACTATTTGTGTGCATCACACCAACGTACCTGATTACTAATTATTTGTGTTCTATTGTTGACCCATTCTCCTGACCAAACAGTTGATACACCGAATCGACATTCCTCACCTTTCTCATTGAAATTGCTCAAAGAGAATCTAAAACGGGTTTACACGCGGTTACTTCAGCCGGTTATGTTGTGTGTCCACAGCAAGCAAAGATCGGTGGAGCTGAGTGGTACAGTATTGGTACCACATACTACGATAATACCGCGCCTTATCGGGTGAGGATAAGGATCAGACTTCTTCCATAAGATCGTAATGTAGGAGTCAGTCAGGCAAGTTTTTAGGTTTTTTATCACCGTACCTAAATGAATAAATAAAGTTCAGTTCCTATTTTGATTTGTTGGACACAAGTGCCTTGCAAAGGTATAGTGTGTTGTTAAGAGCATTAGCCTTGTCAAGGCGCTTACTTTTGTTTAACTAGTAGTGACTAGTTAGTGTGTGATTTTGTGAATCGTAATCCTTTTGGAACCGGGGTTTTGAAGCTTGTACGCTTGAAGACTGTGCGTCGCTGTTAGTTTGTCATAACTAATAGACTCTTTGAGTCCAAGACTTCCTATGTTAAGGATCACTAAGTAGCTCCGCTACACATGGTAGCACTTGTAGTCAATCTACACCTGAGTCTGTACAGACGGAGTCCTCT